TAATGAGTAAACAGAATACCATACATACTGTTTGGCCCCTTTCTTTTTTTTTTTTTTTTTCCCAACTTAAATCATTGGAATGGCAGCCTCCTCGGGGTCTCCTGGGAAATCCGCATCGCCACCCTCGGCTGCAGCCCGACGCCTCTCCAGTTTGGCAGTCAGCTCTCGGGCTGGGTTGAAGACGCCGTTGGTCTGCTGGTCACAGATGTAGCAGCTCGCGGTGGTGCGGAAACGCGACAGCGCGCAGCTCTCGCAGAAATAATGCCTGCATTTCGTGACCACTGGGTTTTGGAAGGTCTGGCGGCAGATGAAACAATTGAAAGGTATATCCTCATCCTCGCTGTCCACTTCATAGCTCTCTTCCGTCGGGATGCCATGGCGCCCCTCTTCCAGCTCACGTTCGATCTGCCACCCATGCTTGTAGTCTGAACGGTCGTGGAGGAATTTGCAGCCGTCCCCGAAGCCACAGAAGCCAGTCTCTTTGTAGTCCTTACAGACATCCGGCTGGTAATCCCAGCGCACGGTGGCGCGCAGGTGCCCAGGCGCCCGGATGGGGCCCTTCCTCACCATCCCAGAGGAGGCGTTGCCCATGGACGTATCCTTGGGCTTCAAGTATTTCTGGTAATTATTGATGCCGCGATAGACCTTGTCATCCTCCTTGCCCCTCCGCTCCTCCTGGATCTTCTGGCTGCGCTCAAAGATGGCTTGAGCGTCTCGCTCCTTCTCGGTGTCCAGCTCATAGAGGGCCGTGGCCCCCATGTCCTCGGGCCCCACGCGTCGAGCTGAGCGGGTGGACTTGTAGACCACGCCGAGGGCCCCCAGCTCCCGCTCCTCGTTGCTGCGCACGCCGCCGCCAGCCACCCTCTGCTGACCACAGGACTTCTGGATCATTGGGTTGTGGGCCGCCCGCTTCTTTTCCGGGCGAACCACGGTGCTGCCTTCGTCGCTACTGCTGCTGCTCTCCTGGGGCTCGAGTTCCGGCCCCCGGCGCCTCCTGTGGCCCGCAGCCCCCTTTCCTCCCGGTTTTTTGAAGTGGAAGGTGCACACGTGGTCTGCCATCTTCGCCGCAGCAGGCTGCAATGCCACGTGGGAGTCGGAGCCGGGAAACGGCTGGGCGCGGTCACGTGGGCTGCACGCCACTGCCCTCCCTGCCCCCTTGTTCTCCGAAGTACACTTAGTATTTTTCCGAAATAGTACAAGTGTTCTCGTTCTTCTTTACGGCCACCTGGTATCACGCTACATGTACCATGATTTATCAGTGTTATCATTGATGGGCATGTACGTTGCTTCCGATGTTTTTGCTACCACGGGGAATGCTCAAATGGGTAACTTCGTACCTGTCATTTCCCATCTGTGCAAACAGTCGGCGGGATAAATCCCCGGAAATGCAATTCTTAGGCCTACCAATTTCATACGATTCAGGGTCATTTGTAGTTCCTTTTTCCGTCTACTGCTTGAATGCCTATTTTCCACTGGGTCATCGGTCATTTTCTCTTCCTAAGTTTTAGGAGGTTCTGCCCATCCCTACCCCAAATATTTCAGGAAGTTTACCCTTTGTGTGTAAGTGGCTGGTGTTCATACCTTTGATAGATAGGGCGTGATTATCCCACCTAGAGGTTTCTCCAATTCAGCGTGGGAGTGCCCAGGCTCTCACCCTGCCTGGACTTTGTACTGTGATGGTTTTGGGGTTTGGTCTCACCTGTAGGGCAGAAATATTGATAGTAGTTTTATTTTATATTTCTCTTACCTTGTGTGAGAGAAAAAGATGTCTGTTCTTTTTTTCTTGAGTTTTTTTTTTTTTTTTCCCTGCCATAGGATGTGTGAGCTCACTGGAGAGACAGAAGGAGACAGAGAGAAAGTGAGAAATCACTACCCTCTCCCCCCAAGGGGGGAGGTCACTCTGCAATCCCTTCTCCATTTTCCTCTTGGGATTTTGGGCGCGTGCACGCTCACACACTCAGTGTGAGATTCAAGCTGCCAGGTCCGGGGCTCAAACCACTGTTGACCATGTGGGAGTCCAGTGCCTTAACCACTGTGTCATCTGCTGGTCCCAGAGATCGTCTTTTCATATGATTAAGGACCACTGATAGATCCTTTTTGTGTGAACTGCCAAACATCCATTTTTCCACTGTGTTTCTGCTTCCCTTCTTGGGTCTTTTCTTCCGCCTAATTTCTGCAACAGAAGTTTTGTTTGTTTGCTTGCTTGTGTATTTCAGGAGTTTAGCCTTTCCGGACTTAATTGCTGATTTTCTTCCCAGACTGTCGCTTATCTTTTGATTTTGTTCATGTTGAGTTTTGTTGTTGTTTTGGGGGTTTTTTTGTTTGTCTGTTTTTTGCTTTGGCCAAGCCAAAGTTTTGATTTCTGTGTAGTTTGAATTAGTCCATCTTTTTTCTTTTATGGTTGCTGGGATGGAGAGTCTTACTCAGAAAGGCCTTTCTACTCCAAGGTACATGCATTCTGCCGTGCCTTTTTTTTTTTTTTTTTAAGGACTTTAGTGGCTTTATTTTATCGTGTATAAATCTTTGATCTGTTTGGACTATTTCCTGGTGTATAGTGGGAGGTATGGATCCAACTTTATCATTTTCCAGATGGCTGACAAGAGATATTTTTTAACAGGGAGCTGGTCCAAAGCACAGCAACCAGAGAACACTTTCTTCAGGAAAAGGTCACATGCCTCAGCAGAAGGTGTGCGAATTATAGTAAGGAGCAGTTTTCTTTAATTAGCAAGGATTCATTTGTTCAACAAATATTTCTCAAGTGCCCATTGAGTGCCAGGTACTCCTCAAGATGCTGAGGATAGAAAAAATAGACAAAAGTCCCTACCCTCAAGAAGTGCGTATTTTCTTGGGGGAGACAGGCAGTGCATAAACAAGTAAGTGTGTGCTGTGCTAGACACTAGGGCCAAAAATTAAACGCGGTGTTCCAGTTATATGACTGTGCAACCAACTGGGCCACAATTTACAAACGGATTGCGTGGGTCAGGAATTTGGACAGGGCATGGCGTAGGGGCATAGTGGATGGCTTTTTCCTGTCTCGCCGTCTAGGTCTTGGATGGAAGATTTGAAGGCTGGGGCTTGGGAGTCATCACCCATGTCCTTTGTGGTTGGTGCTGGCTCTTGTCTACCGGGGCCTGAGTTTCTGTCCACATGGGCCTCTTCTGTGGTCTCTTGGTGTGAGCTGATTTAGGCTCTGACATGGTGGGTTCTAAGGGAGCCTGTCCCAAGAAGGAGAGCCGGGGTGGTTGGGGAGGCTGTATCACAGGTTAGGAGCTAGCCTCTGGAGGCCTGCAGTGGTACTCTGCCATGGTTTGCCAGAAGTGAGTTACTAAGGCTGATTCTTTATTCAAAAAGAGGAAACTAAGACTTGCTTTTGGTGGCAGGAATGATTCTAGAAGAGCTTATGGCACCGTATATATTGCTGTGGCATTTGTAGAAAATACAATTTGTCATGTAAGACAGGGAGGGCTGGGATGAGGTGGAGGTGATGTTGGTGGAGATAGTGGCATTTTTTTTTTTCCCTTTATGAGAGAGAAAAAGAGAAAGAGAGATTTTCCACATGGTCTTGTCCTAGTCTCTCAGATGGGATCATATATGCATTGGGACCAGCAGATGGCATAATGGCTATGTCGCTAGACTCCCATATAGTTGACCTCGGTTCGAGTCCTGGACCCGGTGGCTTAAACTCACGCTGGGCGCGCGTGTGTGCGTGCCCAAGATCCCGAGAGGAGAAAGGATTGTGGTGTGGCCATCCTCCCTGGGCGGGGGTGTGATTTCTCACTTTCTGTCTCTCTATCTCTCTCTGTCTTTCTGGCGAGTGCATGCGCCCTATAGCAAAAACCTCTCAAAAAAAAAAAAAAGGATCATATATACACACACAACCACACTGGGTGTGGTCAGTAGTGGCACTACGTGTGTGTCACTGTGGTTGGGCCGATTAGTGGTATTTTATAAATTGGGGTCAAGGACATGGGACCCTACCGACGAGAGAGGGGAAGCCCTTGACTAGCCAGAGAGATGTTCCAGCCAGAAGGAACAGCTAAAGGCAAAGGCCCAGCAAAAGCGGGCTTGTGCTAGGCCTGCTGGAGAACGTGGGGTCTCATGTCAGCCCTGTGGACTAAGAGAACGCGGAAGGAGCGTAGGTGAGGTCAGAGAGACCGAGGGAGCCGATCGCTGCTGCAGGCTGCTATAAAGACCTCGGCTTCTCTTCTGAATGAATCGGGGAACCACTGAGAGTTTTGCACAGAGGAGCAACATGCTCTTTCTTAGGTTTTTATGGGTTGCTCTGGCTGCTGTGAAAATAGATCTGGAAGTGGGAGGCAAGGGTGGAAGTATGGAGACCAATTAGGAGGCCATCGCAAAAATACAGGCAGGACACGAAGAATGCTTGGACTAGGATCAGAGTGGAGGAGGCGGTGAGCAGTGGCAGATGATTTTTGAAATAGAGCTAACCGGGTTTGCTGATGGATTGCATGTGGGTTAGTGGACAGACCATACATCCTTCTGTGTCTGGGGCAGTTCTGACTTATATAATGAGCTATCTGGTCATCCTGGTTATGAGAAAAACAGAGGAGTCAAGAATGGCTTCAGAAGTTTTGCCCTGAGCAACCGGAAGAATCGAGGTACTGTTTCCTGAAATGGGAACGACTTCGGGGGAGGCTGAATTGAAGGAGGTGGAAACCAGGAGTTAACACGGACATGTTAAGTAGACAGTTGGAGTGTTGGGAGGAGGTCTGGGGTGGAGATGGAAGGTAGAAGTGTGAAGCCAGGAGGCAGGAGGCTGTCATGACAATGAGGAGAAGAGCCCTGGGCTGCCAGTATAGGAGTTAGGCAATTAAGGAGGAAGTAGCCAGGATAAGGAACTGCCAGGAAGAAGGCTGGGGAAATGGCGGAAGTCCATGAGGTCGCCAGACTGAGGTGCTTTCTGTACCAGGGTGGCTGCCTGTTCACTTCATTGTTTTGAAGGAAAAATTTTCATAAACATGTGTGCATTGTGGGCCCATAGCCTAGTGGTTAAGGGAACTGGATCCCATATGGCCGTGCACGTGGTTTGAACCCTGGCCCCAGTAGCTTGAGAAACGTGTCAGGCACGTGTGCATGTGCACCCAGAATCCTGGTACGATGGGGAATGGAGAAGGGGTTGTGGCGTGACCACAACCCATTAAGGGCTGCTTTCTCTCTCTCCATCTGTTTCTCTTTGGTGAGTGCATGGACCCCTTGGCAATTAAAAAAACACTGCCCGGGGCCAGCAGGTGGCATGGTGGTTAAGGGCGCTGGACTCTCACATGGTCGACCACGGTTTGAGTCCTGGACCTGGCCGTTTGCTTTCCCACTCCCCTCCCCCCTCTCTCTCATTCTGTCCTTCTCTAGTCAAATTAAAATAAAGATAAAAAAAAAAAACCACTATGCTTCCTCATCTTTGTTTTACTTACTTTTAACAGATACTCATATGACATCTCATATTATTCACATGTAGTCCATATGCTCATGTAATTGGCATGCCACTAGCACTTATTGCACATACAACACACCATTAGCATGTTTCTTGTGTCATTCACACGTCCATCCTGTGACATTAACATGGTACTGGCACATCACTCACATGATACCACATACAGCCACAGCATTTTCATAGCTATCACATGTTCATAGCATGTAACCGACATATTCATAGCATATAATCCACATGTTTTTATACACTTGTGTTACCGGCATGTCATTTGCATGTTTATTGAGGGCAACAACATGCAACTCATGTCATCAGCGTCACATAATCACATGTTAAGGACATGTTTTTACATGTAACTACCATATACAACATGTTCATAGCATGATGCTTACATACAACACGTGCTTGTATGTTGACCACGTATCATGCATGGCTATTTCATGCCACACACATGCCAACCATGTATCGTGTGTATATTGTTCATATGTTACAGTTATGTCAATAGCATGTCACACATATTATATATATGTTAGTCATATGCCACAATGCCAAATGCATGTTACATGCATGTCAATCACACATTGGATGTATGCTGCTCGTGCGTTGCAGTTGTGTCAATAGCATGCTGCATACACACCACACATGTTAATTGCATGTCACACACAACATACACATGTCAATGCAGGCCATGCACATGACACAC